TGCTAGTTTATAGTTCTGGATACATTTCTCCCAATCTCACTTTAAAGCCATTCATTCCAGCACAATTACAAGAGCAGTTTTAAAACGCACAACAGCACAGGCTTCGAACATTATGACATTCTAGGGAACTGCTAGTTTTCACTATGATAACGACCTAACCATTCCACTCACGCTAAAACACCGACCATTACTTAACACATCGTTCTGCACTATTGTTTTTAATATCATTGAGACGTCTCCTCTGAAACCAAGTGTAAACAAGTTTTAGGCTCACTCTCCAGGGGGCCTACCAGTTTGAACCAAAAATTCCCTGAAGCTCAACGACTTGTGCCTGGTAGAGCCGGAAACCGTCCACAGAAGTTGGGAGACCTCAGAGTTGCGGCTTCAGTACCCCGGAGAAAGGAAGGGTCGACACCTACCCCACATTCTGCCAGGACCCGCGAGAGCACGGGTCCCCACCTCCGCACGCAGATTGGCTCCCCCAGCTGTGTCCCGCCTCCTCCTTTCCCCCTCCAAGTCACTCACCCTCGGTTTCCCCCTGAGCCTTCATGCTGCCCGCGGGGAGGGCCCGGACCTTCCACGGGAGGGGAAGTTTTTCCCCACCACGCACAGGGGAAGCAGGCTGGCTTGAGTTCCGGGGCAGCGGGGCGCCAGCGCTCCCCACTCTTCCGGGGAAGGTTCAGTCTGAAGTCCCCCGCGGCAAGAACAGAAGGGTGCACGGGGTCGCCGCCATCTTCCCCAACGGAACTTCCCAAAGATCGCGAGATTAACCGTGATCCTGCGATACCGACTGAAGCAGAAGGCCAAGTACCAAAATCTCGCGAAAATTGGTTAAGTCGATCTTCCCGCGAGATTTCTTGCAGCCCAGGCCGCCTCTGGCTCTCGAACGTCTCGCTCTTCCACCTCGGGTTTAAGGTTTAAGGTGTGTGTGGAGAGCGTTGGTGTCTGCAAACACTTTCATTTTGACAGATGAAGTTTGTAAATTGGAAGCTTTAGCTCTGCTCAACGGAAGAGTGGCGAAGGCCTGTAACCCCAGCACGCTAGGGCTGGGGCAGGATGATCGCACGTTCAGAGCAAGCCTGGGATAAAGATATACCTCATCTCAAAAACAATACACCAAAACGCGTTCTTCCTCTGCTGAAAGAATAGCCTTACACTATCCTGCTTGTCCGTTTTGTTTTGTTGAGACGTGGTCTCCCTGTGGCTCCAAGCTGACCTGGAACTACGGTAGACCAGGCTAGCCTCTTATCTGACAGCGATCCGCCTGCCTCTGCCTCCCAAATGCTGGAATTAAAGGCAAGCACTACCACGCCCAGCCTAGTACATTTGTTTTATTCTATTTTATTTGATCTTTTTGACAGAGGGACTCCCCTGCCGGCTGTGGAGACGAGGATGGCTTGGATCTCAGCGATCCACCTCCCTCTGCCTCCTGTGTGCTGGGATTAAGGGCGTGCACCACCACGCCCGGATAATTTTTCAAATTTTTGTTTCAGTTTAGGCGAGGTGGAATGTGTAATTTCCTGGAGCTGTAGTTACAGGTAGTTGTGAGCCATCCAATGGTTTTCCAGATCCTGGAAACTTTTCCTTGGCGGGGGATTGGAAGGGTGGGGGAGTGTCCACACTGTCTCTACCTCTGTAGTGCTGGGACTGAAGGCAGGGGCCACTATGCCACAACCTAAATTCTAAGCTTGCAAGCTTGCGAGGCACTCTACCAGTGAGTTACAGTCCCAGCCCTATCTTGTTCACACCTCAGTTATGTATCGCTTTGAGAGAAGAGAAGCAGAACTCGACACAAAGTTTCTTGGGGTTTTCTGCTAAATTGTGATGTCTTAGGCTGGAGATACAGCTCTGGTAGTTTTCACCTCGCCTGTGCAAGGCCCTGGGTTCAATCCGAGGACTGCAAGCAAAAAACAAAAAGTACAATTTGTGTGTGTACGTGTACTGCATGGGGGCCAGAGGTCTGCATTGGGTGTATTTCTCAATTGCTCTCCACCTTACTTTTTGAGACAGGGTCTCTCAGTTCAAAGTTCCTGCTAGACTGGCCAGGCAACAAGCCCCTGGGATCTGCAAGTCTCTGTTCCCTCAGCTGTGAGGTTATATACACTGCCCTGCCCAGCTGTCAGGTCTTTTGTGCAATGAACTTCATTGAGTCGTCTTCCCCACCTCCTTAAATTCTGTGTGTGTCTGTGTGTATTCACATATATGTGTTCATGTGTGTGCAGCCATGTGGAGGCCAGAAGTTGATGTTGAGTGTCTTTAGTTACTCTATTTTTGAGACGGGGTCATTCGCTGAACCTGGCGCTTGTTCTGGCTACAATAGCTGGCCAGCAAACTCTAGGGATCCTCCCGTCTTCACCAATGCTGGAGACTAAGCTCAGGTCCTCAAGCATGTGTAGTAAACACTTTACCTTCTGAGCCACTCCCCCCACCCCTGCCCCATTTCAAACTTTTTTTTCTTTCCAGTTCTGAGAAAATTTTATTGGCCTTTTGGATAGACTTTATTTGCCAGGAAAGATGATCCCATCACAGTTCTGCTGGAAGCAGCACATGGCTCCTCTTTGCAGATTCTGTGTTTGACATCAAAGCAGCTCGTCCTGCTCGTCTTATCTGAAACCTGACTTACCCAGCACCACATAGAAAGTCCAGGCCATAGATAACAATGCTTTGGTCATATTTGATGCCCAGATTAATATGTTCCTGGATTCCAAAACCAAAGTTTCCAGTATCAGAGAAGTTATTTTTTTCGTCACTCATACTCCTGCACTTCAGACCTTTCTCAAGGATTTCTTCTGCCTTGGCCCCATGGACTGTGCAGTGAACCAAAATCTCTTCATTTCTCCTGATGCCAAAGGACGTGACAGTGTATGGAGCTTTGGAAAATACGGGTGTCTGGCCGGTGAGGTGCTCCAATACTTTGGATGCCAGGGTCAATCTGTCTTCACTCTCTTCCCACATAGATGTTGAAGTTCCCAATGGGATTCTCCTTTTCACCTTGATCCTCCATGATGGAGAACAGGAAGAGAGAGCATTTCAAATTAAAAAAAAAAAATTATTATTTTTATTTTATGAGTGTATTGTTTGCATGTAGGTAAGTACACCCGTGTTGTGCAATCTCCTCAGAGGACAGAAGAGGCTGTCAGATCCCCTGGAAATGGAGTTATTGATAGTTGTTAGCTGCCATGTGGGTGCTGGGATTTGAACCCAGGTCTTCTGCAAGAAAAACCAGTATTCTTAAGCGCTGAGACATTTCTCCAGCCCCTCAAACTTTTTTTTTTTTTTTTTTTTTGACACAGGCGCTCTCTGTGGTCTCAGCTGGCATGGAACTCACTATATAGATGAGGCTGGCCTCTGCCTCCCAAGTGCTGGTATTAAAGGTGTGCAACACCACACCACGCAGCCCCCCCCCCCCCCCCGGGGGAAAATTTTTTGGGGCTGGAGAGAGGGGACACGGGTTAAAAGACCTGATTGAGGACCCAGGTTCGATTCCCAACACCCACATGGCAGCTACAAACCGTCCTTAACTCCAGTTCCAGGGGACTCTGAAGCCCTCTTCTGACCTCTGCGGCATTGCACATGGGTGCACTCACATGCAGGCAATACATTCATACACATAAAATTAAAATATTCTGCAAGAGCAGTCCGTGCTCTTAACCCCTGAGCCATCTCTCCAGCCCCAAATAAAATATTTTTTAAATTGAATTTATTTGGCTGGGCATGGTGGCGCACGCCTTTAATCCCAGCACTCGGGAGGCAGAGGCAGGCGGATCTTTGTGAGTTCGAGGCCAGCCTGATCTACATAGTGAGTTCCAGGACAGCTGGGGCTACAGGGAGACCTGTCTGAAAATGACCAAAAAAGAAATTATTTTTTTTGTGACAGTGTCTATGTAGCCCTGTAACTCACAGAGTGCTAGGGTTAAATGGAATATGTATATAGTGTCCTGTGGCTACTTGTGAGGTTAGAAAAAAAAAGGTACGTAAAATGCCTGGGACGAAGTAGGAAGTATTGTTTAAACACTCATCCTTGAGTTTTAATACCCCTCAGATTGACTTTATGCCTTGTTAGAAATAAGCTCATTCTGATAACTTAATGACTCCTTGCAAAGTGTGCTGAAGGCGTTTTCACGGGAACCCGTATTTCTTCTGTGAGTTACCAGCTAGGGTTAGGTTTTAAAGATGATTTCTGAAGGGTCCTTTTCAATCAAGATTTCCTGAAATGGAGCGTCGGAAAGTTCTCGCGAGAGTCTAACTGACGCGTCTGTGCCTGGGGTCCTGTTCTCGCGGGGTTTGCTGAAAAAATGGGTCGGGGTGAAAGGGAAGCGCAAGACATCGCGGGAATCTGGCGGAATCTCGCGATACTTCTTGAGATTGCCCCTCCCCCTCCCCCTCCCCCAAGTGCCGTTTCGGTTTAATCTAGTGTGTGACTGAGTCTGTGTGAGGGAGCGAAATGTGTATGTGAGGTATTGAGGTGAGGCAGAGGCTAGAGAGGGGCTTCCTCAGGAGCGAGGGACAAACGGGGATAGCTCAGAAAACCTAGGCCGCGGGACCCAGGCGACAAGAAGCCGCCCCGAGCCGGGCTGCCGGGTAGGGGAAGGGCCCGCATAGTCCTCACAGGGCCCCAGTACCGGAGTCGGCCCCACAGACCCGCGCCGGCGGCTTCCTACTTCATCGACCTCCGGGGCTCCCGGACCTGAGGAGCGGCTCGGCGCGGGTTGGGGGTGGGGGGCAGACTTGAGCAGCTTCCGTTGCTCCCAACTGCACTGCCGAGGAACTCTGCTGGCTTACCTCGCTCCTTCACCCCCCACCTCATGTAGGAGGGTGCTGCCGAGCAGAGCGGGAGGTGGAGCCTGGCCTAGCGTCCCTGCCCTCCCCACCCCCTTCTCGGGGCGCTTTGGTGGGCGTGGAGTGGGGGTCGGGGGGGGGAGGGGGGAGGGAGAGAGAGAGAGAGAGAGAGAGAGAGAGAGAGAGAGAGAGAGAGAGAGAGGCTCAGTCCAGGAGGGTGGGGCTGACTTTTGGGAGTTTTGGGGAACTTTTTCCCCTTCTTCAGGTGTGGGGGAAGGGAATGCCCAATTCCGAGAGACATGGGGGCAAGAAGGACGGGAGCGGAGGCGCGTCGGGCACTTCGCAGCCGTCCTCGGGGGGTGGCAGCTCCAACAGCAAGGAGCGTCACCGCCCGGTGTCGAAGCACAAGCGCCACAAGTCCAAGCACTCGAAAGACATGGGCCTGGTGACCCCCGAGGCGGCGTCCTTGGGGACCATGATCAAACCTTTAGTGGAGTACGACGACATCAGCTCCGACTCCGACACCTTCTCCGACGATGTGGCCTCGAAGTTGGAGCGGCGGGAAAACGACGAGCGCCGAGGAGCGGATCGAGGCGACCGCCTGCACAAGCACCGGCACCACCAGCACCGGCGCTCCCGGGACTCGGTGAGAATCAAGCCGAGCGAGAAGGACAAAAACCAGGAAGTATCTAAGTCGGCGAAGGAGCGGCTGTTGGGGAGCTCTAAGCGGCCCCCGGAGGGGAGCGAGGACTACGCCAAGGGACCCGGGTGCAAAGGCGGCAGCAAGGAGTCCAGGTCAGCCAAACTGCACAAGGAGAAGGCGCGGAAGGAGCGCGACCTCAAGTCGGCACACAAGGAGCGCAGCAAAAGTCACCGCAAGAGGGAGACCCCTAAAAGTTACAAGACAGTGGCCAGCCCCAAACGCCGGTCGCGCAGCCCCCACCGGAAGTGGTCCGACAGCTCCAAGCAGGATGACAGCCCCTCGGGAGCCTCGTACGGTCCGGATTACGACCTCAGCCCGCCGCGCTCGCACGCATCCAGCACCTACGAGCCGTACCGCCGGAGCCCGGGCAGCGCGTCCCGCAGGCCATCCGCCAGCCCTCCCTACCGGGAGCCTGCCGCCTATCAGCCCAGCGCCCGCTCCCCCAGCCCCTACGGCCGTCGGCAGCGCTCCGTCAGCCCCTACGGCCGCCGCCGCTCGTCCAGCTACGAGCGCAGCGGCTCCTACAGCGGCAGGTCGCCCAGCCCGTACGGCCGCCGGCGCTCCAGCAGCCCGTTTCTCAGCAAGCGCTCGCTGAGCCGGAGCCCGGCCCCCAGGTGAGCCGCCCGCCCGTCTGGCTTCTATCTGTCTGTCTGTCCGTCCACCCACCCATCATTCCGTCCCTCTGGCTTCTGTCTGTCCGCCCGCCCGTCCGTCTGGCTGCCCATCCGCCCGCCTTTCCCGAGGTGGGGTGGGCTGAGAGAATTGTTGGTTAGTGGGGATAACCGGTTGTCGAAGCCTCCAGCCAGCTGTGGACTAGGCTGGATAGGCCACCCCGAGTTGGAGAAGATTCCACAGGCCCAGACGTTCAAGGTAGGTGGGATCCGCAGCTGGAAGCTTCTGGGAGAAGACTTGCCAGATCTTGCTGCGCTCTTTGCTGCTCTGACTGCAGATGTTGAAAGGCACGTTGATAACCAGCGATTGAGCTTTATTGGAACTGACTAGAGAATTGAGAGATTACCAGTTTTCTTGTGGATTACCTTGAGTCTGTTTACCTAGGTTAGCCTACCAGTTTGTTGACTATGTTCCCAAGCCTGTAATGATCACTGGTTTAGCCTACGCAAGAATCCTATCATAACTTTTTTAGTAAAAAATTCAGCTAATTAGGCAGTTTCCTTTTTGATACATAGTCTAGCAGAAATTAGTTCCAGTGACAATTTGGGTTTTTGTTGTTTTTTTTGAGGCAGGTCTCCCTGTAGCTCCAGCTGCCCTGGAACTCAATTTGTAGAGCAAGCTGAGCTCTTAGAGAGCCACTTGCCCCTGCCTCCTGAGTGCTGGGATCAAAAGTGTGGGATACCATACCCAATTTCATTTAAAAAAAAAAAAAAAAAAAAACAAACAAACAGCATCACTATTGACTTGCCTTGTTACCACTCACAGTTTTCAAAAACGTCCTTGAAAAATATGGTAATAATGCCTTCAGCTTGATACTTTTGTAAGAAAGATGTTTTAAATTCTCTGAGGAAAATTGTGTTCCTGTTCCTAGGTAATAGGTTGTGCCTCATTTGTGAACTCATCTCTGTCCACAAAAGCAGAACAGGGTTATATCTGAGTGGAATCTTAATACTGCTTTATGACCTTTGGCAAATGACTTAATTTGTTCATACCTGAGCTTCTTCATGTGTAAAATGGGAATAAAAGCTACCTACTTCAAGGTTGTAAAGATTAATAAATAAGAAGTGCATGATACCTTGCACATAGAACAACTCAGAAAATTCTATGATTGAATAACACTAGTAGAGAAATTATGCTAACTTGAAAAAATTCCATGCATTTATATGTCAGTGCATTTTTCATTGACTTAAAGTTACTTGAAAACTTGTATTTGCCATATATACAATGTTTCTTAACTATCAAGAACTGGATTGGAGGGTTTTTGTGGGGTTTTTGTTTTTTTTGTTTTTTTGTGTGTGTGTATTTTCTCCTCATTTTAGTATTAAGAAATAAGCCAGGTGTGGTGGTGCACACCTTTAATCCCAGCACTTGGGAGGCAGAGACAGGCTGATGTTTGTGAGTTCAAGGCCAGCCTGGTCTATATAGTGAGTTCCAGGACAGCTGGGGCTACAGGGAGACCCTGTCTCAAAAAGACAAAAAAAAAAAAGAAAGAAATTTCAATCATGTTGATCATGTTGAAAGAATTATAGTAAACATGCATGTATCTAATACCTAGATTCTATAATTAGTATTTGTAACTTTTGTAACATTTTATATGTATTGCAGCCATCAATCAGCACACTTCCTTCTAAACACTTTAGTACGCAAACCTTTTTTTTTTTGTTTTTTTGAGACAGGGTCTCCCTGTAGCCCCAGCTGGCCTGTAACTCACTATGTAGACAAAGCTGGCCTTGAACTCACAGAGATCCACCTGTCTCTGGGCTCAAAGGTGAGTGCCACCATGCCCAGTGCAAGCTATTTCTTAAGTGTTTGTGTTTTTGTTTTTGTTTTTGTTTTTTTTTGTTGTTGTTTTTTGAGAGATAAGGCATGAGATTTATGTAGTAGAAAATATGTAAGTCATAAATTATTTTAAAAAGTTGCATACTTTTTAAGGGAAATCTGAGAAGTGTTCTCAGAATTTTATTTTTGTTTTATAGAGGGGGGTTTAAACACTGTAGCCCAGGATTGCCTGAAATTCACTGTATAGCCTAAACTGGCCTCAAATTTGCAGCATTACTGCCTCACCCTCCTGTGTTGGGATTCCAGACATAGAGCCACCACACAAAGCAGACTGATTTCTTGAGAGAGTGTTAGCATTAAGGCTATTTGAAGAATTTTTACTATTGGGTTTAAGAATATGGAAGTCTAAATTAAAACACAGGATTTAGAGTTAGAACTGTTGAAATAATTTCTTGTAGATTCCTAAAGAAAACAGCATATCTCAAGTTCTCTTAAGTGAGTTGAGGAAGCTGTACTCAACTGAAATCAGTAAAGTGATGGTAAATATAAACCTAGGAAGACTTGGAGACACAATATGGTAGTGGAGGTTGCAATTATAAACATAAGATATTCCTGGAAACAATGTGCACCTTTTTTGTTGGCTTGTAGAGAATGTTATGCTTGTATGTGTGCATTGCATAGGGAACCCCCTCCCCAAATGCTGGATTAAAGGTGTTGCCAGCAACACGCCTGGTTTGTTTATTGGATTTTTTTTTTTTTTTTTTTTTTTTTTTTTTTTTTTTTTTTTTTTTTATTTGGTTTTTTTTTTTTTTTTTTTTTTTTTTTTTGGTCTTTTTGAGACAGGGTCTCCCTGTAGCCCTAGCTATCCTGGGACTCACTATGTGGACCAGGCTGGCCTGGAACTCAAGAGATCCGCCTGCTTCTGCCTTCCTAGTGCTGGGATTAAAGGTGTGCACCACCACACCCAGCCCAAAAACTAATTTTGTGAAGAAGAACATAGATCCCCTTTCTTTTGGAAAAACCAAGGAACAATGGGACTAAGCATCATTTTGGGTATGAGGAAGTGCTGAGGAGTGAACTCTGCTTTGTGCATGCTAGGCAGATGCTCTACCATTGCACTACATCCCCAACCCCCAACCTTTTTTTTTTTTTAAGATAGTGAATAATAAAATGGGCTGTTATTTTCATATATGGGTATGGGAATATACGTATGTGTGTATGTACATGTATATATACACATACCGTCATTCCTTGTCTGTGTTCATCTTCAGTAAGCAACATTTTAAAAGACTGAAAATGCTATGGTAGAAATCCAATCAGTATATTTCCATATGCTGAATTAGCAGTGATTATTAGTAGGGATCTGATTTCAAGAAGGTAACTAACAATTCAGGGGTACAAGTACATTTAATAGGCTTATTGCTGCCTATTTTACCTATTTTCATTTTTTGTTTATGAATTTATTGCCTCCATGTGTGTAAGTGCATCCATGTCTTACAATGCCCGCAAAGGACAGAGAAGATGTCGAATCCCCTGGAATTGGAGTTACAGATGGTTGTTAGCTGCCATGTGGGTTCTGGAGACTTGAACCCAGGTCTTCAGCAAGAGCAGCCAGTGCTTTAACAGAGCCATCTCTCCAGTCCCTTTATTGGGTACTTTTAAATGAACTTCCAAAAACAGTGTAAAGGAAAACCATGGCTGTCCTCATGTGAGTTGTTTTCCTGACACATAAATAAATGTTTTTTGCTTTGAACCATTTTGATTCTTGTCAGTCTCCTGGAAATATTGCCAAGTGCTAAGATACCTTCCTAGCATGAAGGAGGCCCTAGGTTCAATCCCCATGCTAAGGGAGGAGGGAATAGTAAAGAGATACAGTAATGGTCTGGAATGGGAACATTTGTTTTAGCCTAACAAAATTATGTTTTATGCTTTGTCCGGTCACTTTGGGAGGTGGGTAGGGGATGTCCAGTTACATTTTTAAGTGTTTGGGTTTTTCTTCACACTGATTCTTGAGCAGAGCTTTAGTGAAAAACCAAAAGGAGTTAGTGAGAATTTGGTATAACCTGTTCCATAGATTACCAGGTTTTAATTCACAGTCATTACTCATTAAAATTTTATTTGTACGTGCAGTAATTTTTGCCTTGCATATTACTACAAAATTAATTGGAAATCATTTTATCTTAGAAGTACCAGGACCTGTATTATCAGTTCTTGGCAGGATCCTGAGTTTTAAGCCAGTATAGACTACATAACAAGGCTTTGTCTCAAAATGCCAAAAAATAAAGTAGTCCAGGCCTGGTAGTGCAGGACTTCAGACCAATCACTTGGGATGCAGTGGCAGTCGGTTCTCTGAGTCCAGCCTGGTCTATATAAGGAGTTCAGGCTAACTAGGATTACATAGTGAGACCTTTTCTCAAAACAGACAAACCAAAAGGCCAGTACTCCAGAGGCAGAGGCAGGGGGAATCTCTTGAGATCCAGACCAGTTGGCTACAGGGGGACCCTGTCTCAAACTACCTAACTAAAGTAACAGGGCTGGTGATAGAGCTTAGTGGTAGGCTGTGTTCTTCCATTTGCAAGGTTCTGGGTTCAATACTCAGCACTTGAAAATATAAAATATATCAGAAACTAGTATTTTTTTTTCTAAAATTTTTATGTGTATGAATATCTTATCTACATTTAATGCCATACATGCAGGGCTGGAGGAGGACAGAAGAGGGCATTGGATCCCCTGGAGTAGGCAGTTATGGATGGGTGTTAGCCACCGTGTGGTTGCTGAGAACCAAACCTTGTCATTTGCAAGTTCAGCCAGTGCCCTTAACCATGACCATCTCTCCAGTCTGTATTTTTAAAATGTCTAATAGTTTTATTAAAGCATTTTTCTCTAATTTATGTGCATATAAATTTAAATTTTTTGTATACTGACCATTTGTTTGCTATAGACAACTTTATTATAAACTAAGGCTACAGAAAACTACATTTTCCTAGGTACCTCCTGATTAATATCACCAATTATAGAGCATGACGATGTTTTCAATTTCTCAAAGAGTAGAACAAAATTTCTCAAAAGTAGGCATTATCAATATGGCTATTTTCAGGTGGAAGAAAAATACTATTCTAGCTTCCATCAGTTAACTAACTAGTGAATATATTTGTTGCTTTACTCCCCTTGGTCCCGGCCCCCCCTTTTTCTTTTTTTTTTTTTTTTTTGTTTTTTAAGGAAGAAAGGGTTTATTTTAAAGGTAAGCCAAGACAGCAGGCACTAGGGGGAGCCAGCCATGTAGGGTCCTCTGGTAGGATCCAGAGTGGTGAGGGGTGATGC